CTGGCGTGTCCAGCGGGGTGAGGCACCGCGCAGATCTGAGGTAGACCTCGCCGTCCCTGGGGGGCTGCGATCTGCGAATATGTCGCCACTTTTGTTGGCTGCTCATGGATCCAGCGGAGTGAGGCACCGCGCAGACCTGAGGTAGACCTCGCCGTCCCTGTGGGGGCTGCGATCTGCGAAACTGTCGCCTCTTTCGAGGGCTGCTGGTCGGTCCAGCGGGGATCTGAGGTAGACCTCGCCGTCCCTGGGGGGCTGCGATCTTCGAAACCGTCGCCACTTTCGACGGCTGCTGGTGGGTCCAGCGGAGTGAGGCACCGCGCAGATCTGAGGTAGACCTCGCCGTCCCTGGGGGGCTGCGATCTGCGAATCTGTCGCCACTTTCGACGGCTGCTGGTATGTCCAGCGGAGTGAGGCACCGCGCAGACCTGATGTAGACCTCGCCGTCCCTGGGGGGCTGCGATCTGCGAAACTGTTGCTACTTTCGAGGTCTGTTGGTGGGCTGGCCACTTTCGAATGCTGTTGGTGGGCGGCCATGCCAGGTTGTTGCTGCCCCGCCGACGTTTCAAGCCCCTTGTCCGCACTCTCCTTTTGGACCTTGCGTCTTCCGTAGTGACTCAGGGGTTCTATTAGTTACTCATCGTTTTTCCCTTGGTTGGGGACCTGCGAACCTCCCGAATGCCGCTTGCAAAAGTATATGCGTCCATGTCACGTCGCCGTCTTTTCGTCAGATCTCCCGAGCTACTCCTGCCCCGCATTGCGCAGGGGTTGGGTACGTCGCCAGGGTAATTTTTTAAACGTTGACAACAACTTCGCGGATGGAGGGCGGCTCCTTTTCAAAGTGTGGCATTCGCCTCTGCGCAGCTCGCATTCGTCGCAGAAGCTTGCAGCTGTTTCACGAATGGAGGGCGGCTCTTTTTCAAAACGTGGCTCTCGCTTTTGCGCCGCGCACACTCGTCTTACACATTCACAGCAGTTTCAAGGCTTCGTATGGTTGAATTCCCAGGGATTGTGTTCTGGCACGGTTTTGAATTGTCAGGACGCATCAGTCACAGTGATTCGTTGCGTCGAAGTACAAAGAACTTGGTTCTGGCACGGTTTACGATTGTCTGGACGCCACGGCGCTGACGTCTCATGCATTCTCTATAGGTGCGACTGAGGATTCTCAATCGGTTTGTCTTCCGATTGATCATTTCCCGCAGTGAACATGAACTCGTATGGGGGTCTATGAAGAGGGAGCTGGGAGGGAGGGCTTACCGCAACACCGTTAATGCGTCTTGGGTTTGCACTTGTCCTCCTCCTCCTCCTCCTCCTCCTCCTCATGCCTCCTCCTCCCCATCCTGCCTCCTCCTTCTCATCCTCCTCTGGCCTCCTCCTGCATTCTCTTCGGGCCTCCTGCCTGGGCCTCCTATTACCTTCTGTAGCCTCCTTGGGCCTCCTGGAGCCTTTGGGGCCTCCTGGGGCTTCCTGGGGCCTGGGGTACTCCTGGGACTTCCCAGGGTCTCACCGCTGCCTCCTAGCCTCTTAGGGCTTCCTGGTGGCTCTGGGGCCTTCTGTCGCCGGTTTCCTGTGGCCTTCTGAGGCACTCCGAGGGCTCCCGCTCGAGACGTCAGTGAGATTCACTCACAGACGAGGCTCTGGCTCGAGGCTTTCTTAAGATTCAGGCTTCAGGAGCCCACGTGACCACATTTACAGGACAGGGTTCTGATGACCCGTTCGGACTGGGTATCATGAGGTGCGGGCCCTAAAGGGAGGGGGATCCCGCTTGAGACCTCCTCTCGACTCACTTGCAGATGAGGCTCCCGCTCCAGACTTCCCCCAGGTCCAGACCTCGGGAGGTCAATGGTGACGACCGTTGCAGGTTAGAGGATTGCCGCTTCGGATCACTAACATGAAGCACGGGTCTCAGAGGAAAGGGGATCTTGCTCAAGACTTCCTCGGAATTCACTCGCGCACGAGGTTCCCGCTCGAGACTTCCTCAGCATTCAAGTGTCAAGAGCCCACAAAAGTGACGACAGTTGCAGGCTTGAGGATGGCCGCCTCGGATTACTAACACGGAGCGCGGGCCCCGTTGGGAGGTGCTCCCGCTTGAGACTTCTTCGCGATTCGCTCACTCGGGACGAGGCTCCCGCTGGAGATTTCCTCAAGATTCATGCCTCAAGAATCTGAGCGATGCGACAGCTACAGGCTTGAGGATGGCCGCCTCGGACGACTAACGTGAAGCACGGGCCCCATAGGGAGGACGCTCCCCCCCGAGACCTCCTCGCAAGTCGCACGCACACGAAGATCCCGCTCCTGTTTTCCTCGATGTTCAGGCCTCAGGAGCCCCAGAGTGAAGAAAGTTGCAGGTTTGAAGGCCGCCTCGGACTGCGAACGTTCAGCGCGGGCCCCATGGGGAGGGGCTACCGCTCGAGACCTCCCCTCGATCTGCTCACAGTCTGAGCTCCTGTTCGCGACGTCCTCAAGATTCAAGCCTGAGGAACCCCAGCACGATGCCAGCTACACATTTGAGGATGGCCGCCTCGGATGACTATTATGAAGCACGGGCCCCAAAGGGAAGGGGCTCTCGTTCGAGACTTCCTTGCAATTCACTCACACACGAGGTTCCCGTTCGAGACTTCCTCAACGTTCAAGTCGCACGAGCCCACAGGTGACGACAGTTGCAGGTTTGAGGATGGCCGCCTCGGATTACTGACACGAGTCGCGGGCCCCATCGGGAGGGGTTCTCGCTCGGCAGTTCCCTTCGATTCACTCACGGACTAGGCTCCCGCGGGAGACTTCCTCAAGATGAGTGTGCATATGCGTGTGTGAGTCTGTGTGTGTGTGCGTGTGTGTGTGTGTGTGTGTGTGCGTGTGTGTGTGTGTGTGTGTGTGTGTGTGTGTGGGAGTGTTCGAGTGAGGGCGTGAGTGAGTGTGTGTGCGAGTGTGTGTGTGTGTGTGTGACGTGGATGTGTGAGATGACGATGTCGATCGATAATGATGATGAAGGTTGTGCTGGTGATGCTAATAAATGCTGATGTTGGTGAGGATGGTGGTGATGGTGCCGTTGGTGATGGTGATGCTTGTGATGAGTGAGTATGATGATAGCAATGCTTGCGATGAGGGTGGTGAAGAAGATGAAGATGATGATGATGATGATGATGATGATGATGATGATGATGATGATGATGATGATGATGATGATGATGATGATGATGATGATGATGATGATGATGATGATGCGGAGGAGGAGGAGAAGGAGGAGGAGGAGGATGAGGAGGAGGATGTGGGGAGTGATCCTGTTCCTTCCTGCTCCTGTGAGGGGGTGTCCTGGGAAAGCAATCACCTTATTCGGGATGTGGGAAACCAATCGATCGGATGCGTTTCCCTCCGCTGGATATGTGTGCCGGTGGAAGTATTACGCATTGTTCCCAACCATCCTGTGGTGTTGGGTCCTGGTTTTGAAGTGACAGCGTCCCGCGTTCCTCTCCTCTCCTCCTCCCCATCCTCCTCCTCCTCCCTCCTCCCATCCCTTGCGCCCCTCACACCCTTCGTGGCCCCATAGAGAGCTCCACCGAAAGCCCCAGTGGCGCCGCCCGCATGCGTCCGACCCGCCCATTTCGGCACACCCCTCACAAGGACCGTGGCCCCATGGGGAGCTCCACCAGAGGTTCCAGCGGCGCCGCCCGCTCGTGTCCGACCCATCCATTTCGGCACACCCCTCATGAGGATCGTGACCCCATATGGGGCTCCACCGAAGGTCTCAAGGGCGCCGCCCACATGCGTCCGACCCGCCCATGTCGGCACACCCCTCACGAGGATCGCGGCCCCAGATGGAGCTCCACCCAAGGTCACAGGGACGCCGCCCGCATGCGTCCGACCTCCTCATTTCGGCACCCCTCACGAGGATCGTGGCCCCATAGGGAGCCCCACCGAAGGTCTCAGGGCCGCCGCCCGCATGCGTCCAACCCATTTATTTCGGCACACCCCTCACGAGGATCGCGGCCCCATATGTGGCTTCACCGGAAGTCCCAGCTGCGCCGCCCACATGCGTCCGACCCATTAATTTCGGCACACCCCTCACGAGGATCGCGGCCCCATGTGGAGCTCCACAGAAGGTCTCAGGGACGCCGCCCGCATTTGTCCGACCCACTCGTTTCGGTACACTTCTCACGAGGATCGTGACCCCATAGGGAGCTCCACCGAAGAGCCCAGGGGCGCCGCACGTACGCGTCCGATCCAGCCATGTCGGCACACCCCTCGCGAGGATCGTGGCCCCAAAGAGGGGCTCCACCGAGCCGCCCGCATGCGTTCGACCCACCCAGGTCGGCACACCCCTCACGAGGATCGTGGGGCCGCTCCACCAGAGGTCCCAGGCGCGCCGCCCGCATGCGTCCGACCCACCCGTTTCGGGAAGATGCTTCCGGGGATCGTGGCCCCATACGGGGCTCCACAGGAAGTCCCAGCTGCGCCGCCCGCGTGCGTCCGACCCATCCATGTAGGCACACCCCTCACGATGATCGTGGCGCCACGGGGAGCTCCGCCGAAGGTCCCTGCCGCCGTCCTCTCGCGCGCGCGCGCTCCCCGCCCATGTCGGCACGCCCCTCGTACACTTCGCGGCCCCGTGAGGAGCCCCACCGAAGGTCACAGCGGCCGTCACCGCATGCGTCTCCCCCACAGCCCGCGTGCGGTACCCGCCCCAGGTGGGCACACCCCTCACGCGGTTCGCCCGTCTCACGCGGCTCGCGGCCCCATAGGGAGTTTCCCCTCGATTGCTCCGCCTGCCCTGCGGCACTCAGGCCTGAATCTGGTTGGGTGTTTCGCCAGGATGTTTTTTTTTGGGCGGGCATCTTGCAAAGTGATCCTCGACGGAAGCTATCGGTCATAGTTTTTCTGCCAAGGACTCCTAACCGACAAATCGTTTTGACTCCCCCCGCAGAACAGAGGGGCCCATCCCCCTATTGGCCCCCCCCCCCCCCCCCTCATTCTCCGCTTCCAGAACTGCCACCCTGGTATCCATCCAGGAAACCTTCAGGGTCGCCGCCCAGGACGATTTCATCATGGTGCACCAGAAGGAGGCGTCGACGCGCATCCACCTGAACAAGATGTCTCGGCTATTCAAAGCTGGGGACGTGTCTGGCGACGGCCTCTTGGACAGAGGGGAGTTCCTCCAGCTGATGCAGAATCAGGAGGTCAGGATCTGGCTGTCATCCATGGGGCTCGAGGCGGGGGATGAAGTCGCCTTGTTCGAGTACCTGGACAAGGACGAGGACGGCAACGTGAGCGCCGAGGAGCTGATCAAGGGAGTGGGCTGTCTGAAAGGGGCGGCCAGGAGTTTGGACCTGATCATGTGCCTGAATAAGCTGGACGAGCTGCACGAGTCTATAAAGGCCGTCCACCCAGAGATCGTAAAGGGTGATCCTCTCCGAGGGCCCTTCTTTACGAGCAGGTGGGGGCCCGCTGGGCCCTTTGCCTCGAGGAGGTCTCTCTGACACGCCAGTCGGCTCAACGCCTCTGTCATCACTCGGCCTCTGAGACTCCCACCGCTGGGGGATCGCCGGCACTTGCCGTGCCTTTGGCCAGACCAGGTTTGCGCTCAATTGTTCTCATACTTCTCCTCCTCCTCCTTCCCTCTCCCTCCTGCGTGCTTTCCCCCTCCCTTCCCTTCTGTCCCTCCTCTACGCTGTCTTCCTCCTCCCCTCTCCTTCCCCTCTTTCCCCTCTTTGGCGATGAGTTCCTCCCTCTTCCCCTCTTTCCTCTCTTTGACGCTGAGTTCCTCCTCCCCTCTCCTTCCCCTCTTTCCCCTCTCCTTCCCCTCTTTCCCCTCTTTCCCCTCCTACCTCTTTCTCCTCCTTCCCCTCTCCTTCCCCTCCCCTCTCCTTCCCCTCTTTGGCGCTGAGTTCCTCCTCCCTCCTTCCCCTCTTCCTGCCCCTCCTCTCGTCCGTGCTCTCCTCCTCCCCGCCCGCTCCTCTGCCCCCCTGCACCCCCTCCTCCTCTCTCTAACTCATCCTCTTCCTCCTTTTCCTCCTCCTCCTCCTGCTCCTCCTCCTCCTCCTCTTCCTAACTCCTCCTCCTCTTCCGCCTCTTCCTCCTCCTCTTCCTCCTCCTCCTCTTCCTCCTCCTCCTCTTTCTAACTCCTCCTGCGCTTCCTCCTTTTCCTCCTCCTCCTCCTGCTCCTCCTCCTCCTCCTCCTCCTCCTCTTCCTAACTCCCCCTCCTCTTTCTCCTCTTCCTCCTCCTCTTCCTCCTCCTCTTTCTCCTCCTCCTCTTTCTAACTCCTCCTCCTCTTCCTCCTCCTGCACGTCTTCCTCCTCTCCCTGCGACTTTTCCTCATCCTCATGCCCCCCCCTTTTTCCGCCGCCTCCAGTGCGTTTCCGAGGCGGCTTTCGGGGTGGGGGACGCTCGTTCCCGGCGTGGCTCCGAAGGCGCCCCCGCCCCGAGCGTGAGTCCCCCTGCGGGTTTTCCCTCCGAGCCCATCGCAGCTTTGTGGCCGACGAAGACAAGAGGTCTCTCGGAGCTCCGAGTCCAGTCCTGATCTCCGCGCCTCCCTCCCTCCCACTCTGGAGACTTTTTTTTTCTATCACCTGGCGATAACGCGGGCGCGGCCAGGGCGTGGGGGGAGGGGAGGCGGGACGACGCTGGCCACGGGCGTTCTCGCGAATGATGGAACGACTGTTCCTGTCTCCTCGTCTGCCTCCTCCTCCTCCTCTGCCTCCTGAGCCTCTTCGACCTCCTGCTCCTCCTGCGACCCAGCCTCGACTGCGAGCGCGCGAACGGGAAAAGTCGCACAAGCGCCACGGCCCTCCTCTGGGTCGTCGTGCCGTTCTTCCTCGCCCCGCTGCTCTTCCGCCGTCTCTGCCGGGAGCTCGGGTTATTCTCCTCCTGCTCCCCTCCTTGCTCGTCTGCTCGCTCGCCACGCTCGACCCCCACAGTGCGCCGCTTCCGCACAGGAGCAACTCGACTGTTGTTGGCTGGGGCGGGCGGCGTGTCCTCGGCTGCACGGCCACCACTGCCAACGCCCGCCGTGAACTGGGTCGTGTCCAGGAGGCCTGCGGAGCGTGCAGGAATGTGCCAGGGTACCCTGTTTCCGAGCCTTCCTCATCAGATATGATTCGGGTGTGTCGTTCTCGATCTCCCTGGGTCTCCTGACGCTGAGGTGCTCTGCGCGAGCCATCACGAAGCCGCTCGTCTCATGGTGGCCCGAGTTTCTTCGGTGGCAGCTGCCAAGCCAGAAACCCAAACCTACCCAAACAAGCTTCTGCGATTTTCAGGGGTGGGTTTCTTGCGATGGGCTTCTTGTGGACTAGTAGTCTTTATTGTAAGACGTGTGTACTGAAGAGAGCCGTGAAGCCCGCTTCAACCTCGAGCTCCTCGTCCAAAACAAGTCTCCAACGTTCATGGTGAAGATACGTTTCATCAATTCTCGTATTGCGTGGAGATGGTCTTGTCGACACAAAAACACGACGGACGGTTTTTGGCAGTTTTCGGCTTTTGGGGGGGCCTCGCCAGGCTCCGGGACCGTCAACAGCAATCCGTGAAGAAAAATTTGCCATGGGGCAAGAATCGGGACCTTAAGGGACCCCGCACATGTTTGGGTATGTTTTTCCATCCTCAGTTGCGCCAGCAATCTTCCTCATGCGTACACACACATATATATATATACATACACATATGTATACATCTATCGAAGACGGAGAAGGAGGAGGGGGAGGAGGAGGAGGAGGAAGAGGAGGAGGAGGCAGATCAGGAGGAGGAGGAGGAGGAGGAGGAGGAGGAGGAGGAGGAGGAGGAGGAGGAAGAGAAGGAGGAGGAGTAGACCTGTGTGGAGCCTCTTGGGGGCATTCTTGCCTGGGCGCCTTGGAGGCTTCTTGGGCCGTCTGGGGGCCCTCTTGAGGCCGTCTTCGGGGCCTCTTGGGCCGTTCTGGGGCCGTCCTGGAGGTCTCTTGGGCGATCATTCGGGACTCTTGGGCCGTCTCGGGCCGTCGGAATGCCGAAAAGAAGCAATGCTAAAATCCTTCAAAAACCAAGGGGGAGCATCAATGATTTTTGCATCTTCGGGCCTTCCTGGAGGCCCTCTTGGGGGCCTCTTGGGCCGTCTTGGAGGCCTCTTCGGGGCCTCTGTTGCCGTCATGGGCCGTCTTGGAGGCTTCTCGGGCGAACTTGGAGGCATCTTGGACTCCCTTGGGCCGTCTTAGAGGCCATCTTGGACTTTGGCGAACGTGGAGGCCATCTTCTCCGTCTTGTAGACCATCGTGGGCCATCTTGGAGCCATCTGGAGCACGAAAAACCTTGGTGACCACCTCTCGAGCGGCTTTCCGAGTGGCCGGCGGGTTGGGTGGTGCTGAAGGCCCCGGGGGTGTCTTCAAACGACCTGCAAACCTTTCAGGACGTCCAGCACGCCTGGCACCCCCGTGGCAAGCCGACAGGTGGCGGCGGATGACGGAGAGCGCGCGCAGCGCGCAGCGTGCGATCCGCTGGCCGGGAGAAATTCCGCTGGGGGGAGTTCGAGGGGGGCGGCCGCCGGAGACCCAGGCGACGGAACGAGCGAGGTACGAGTGATGTACGCTATTTGGTGGGGCGAAGTCCTGCAGGGAGGGGTTCCAGGGGAGGGGCGAGGCGCGCGCGGATCCGTGGGAATGGCTCGCTTTTCGGGCATCTTTTCGAGGGCAGCGGCCCCAGGCCGGCTCCCCTGGGCCCTTTCCTTTCCTTTCATCGCTTCGCTCATTCCGCCAGCCCTGGAGCCCTCTTTAGGGCCTTTTGGGGACCTCTTGGGGACCTCTTGGGAGTCTCTTGGGGCTCCTTGGCGGCGTCTTGGGGGCCCCCAGGGCCTCTTGGGTGGCTTTTGGGGGCCTCTTGGGGCGGGAGGGGGGGTAGTCGATTGCGGCTCCCCCCTCGGAGGCCACGATCCTCGTGAGGGTTGTCGAACAATAGCCATCCCCTGGAGTGCTCTGGTGGCTTCTCCCGGGACCTTGCCGGGGTACTTTTCGTCCAGGGGCCCCCAGGGGCAGCTCCGCGCACGCGAACTAGAAATATTGTTAACCAGTTACCGGAGATCTTAGCACGCCTCTGGCCCGTTGGGCTGGCGAATTTTGTCAAGTGACGCGGCCCAAGGACCCCAAGACGGCCCGAGAGGGCCCCCAAACGGCCCAAGAGGGCACCAAGACGGCCCCAAGAGAGCCTCAGATGGCCTCCAGACGGTCCAAGAGAGCCTCGAGACGGCTTCAGAGGCCCTCAAGCCCCCGAGAGGGCCCCCAGGGGCAAAAATCAATTACATTTCAATGTTTTTTGCATGTTGATTTTGGTTCTTGCTTTTTCGGGCCAAGAACAGCCCAAAAAGGCCCAAGAGGCTCAAAGATCATCCAAATACGGCCCAAAAGGCTCCCGCAAGGGCCCGAAAACGGTCCAAGAGACTGCCCCAGAGGGGCCCAAAGCTACCCAAAAGGGCTCCAAGACGGCCCTAGAGGGCCCCAAGACGGCCCCCAACAGAGCCCCTAGAGGGCCCAAAGAGGCTCCCAAGCGGGCTCCAAGAGGCCCCCACCTGAGCCCCCAGACGGCCAAAGGCTTCAAGACGTTCCAAGACGGCCCAAAAGGGCCCCTAAGGTGGCCCAAAATAGCTCCAAAAGGGCTTCAAAAGGACCCCAAGAAGACCCCGACGAGGCTCAAGAGACGCTCAAAAACACCATGGCTCCCATGTGCGAGCGGTGACGTAACAAGCTCTTGACACCAAGGCTCCCCAGAGCACGGTGACGTAAAAGCTTGTCACACCAAGGCTCCCACGATCGAGCGGCAACGCAAAAGTCTCTGAACACCAGGGCTCCCATCGGAGAGCGGCGACGTAACAGGCTCTTCACACCAAGGCTCCCAAGAGCGAAGGGTGCCATGAGCCATCTCGGGCAAGTTCCTGAGGCGCTCTTCCCGTGTCCGTGCCAGGTCCCGGAAAGAGCGAGGCACGAGTGATGATGACGTTTTGGTGGGGCGAAGCCCTCTGGGGAGGGGATCCGGGGAGGGGCGAGGTCCGCGCGCAGTGGCCAGAGGAGGCCAAACACATGGATATCCTTAGGGTTTTTTTGCAGGTTTTTCTGGTTCTCGCTTTTTTCTGGTCGAGAAAGGGCCCCAGACGGCCCAAGAGGCTGCAAATATCGTCCCCAGACAGCCCCAGAGGCCCCCCAAAGGGGTCGAACTCGGTTCAAGAGGGCCCCCAGAAAGAGGGCCCCCAGACGGTCCCAGAGGGGCCCCAAACGGCCCAAGCGGGCCCAAGTCTGCCCAAGAGGCCCCCAAAACGACCCCAAGAGAGCTCCAAGAGGTCCAACGATGGCCCAAAGAGGCTCCCAAGAGGGCCCCAAGAGGCTTCCAAGATAGCCCCAAGACGGCTAAAGGCTTCCAAGACGCCCCAAGACGGAAAAGGGCCGCATGGCGGCCCAAAATTGGCCCACGAGGGCTCCAAAAGAGCTCCACACGGGCCCCCAGAAGACCCCAAGTAGGGGTCAGAGAGA